GAACCAGAGTGGGAGGGGTTGGGGATAGATTCCCCTCTGTAGTGTGATGAGTGATGTTCTACCTACATGTCATCTTTCTCTAGTTAGTCCTGTTTTAGAGAGACTCTCTAAGCCTAGAGGACACAGAAATATGTACATTGATTCGATCAGCTCAGGCATTCCCAGTCTGGTATTTCTGTAAATCTGAGTCCAAAACTACTTATTTGCCAAAACAGGATAACTGAATCATTTAGTTTTCATCCCTTGGTTTTTTATACCTCTGGTAGATTTTGTACATATGGCTAACTAGTAGCATGGGTGAGTGTTTACCAGGTGTGTTCAGGGTCAGGGTAGTAGGTACCCCCTACCTCTCATCTATCATTTGAAGGGTTTGTAGGTGATCCCTTCAACACCCCTTGTTTCCATTACAGGTACTCTAAACTGTGAATCCTATGCTCTGATGGGCTTGCTCCTGGAGGGCAGGTGTGACTTCTCACAGAGGAACTAAGAACCCCTGGGAAGCAGGCTTAGGCTTTATGCATTAAGTTTCACATTAATGGCAAGGCACAGTGGGAGCTTTCTTTTTTCCCATTGGTGGGGATATCACCAGGTGGCCTGTCACATGCAAAAGTGATTCACACATGTCTTTAAGTTGGAAGGGGATGTCCTCCTACCCGAGAAAGCCACTGTTCATTAACAGACAACAAAAGTGGCGATATCTCTCATTATCAGTGGTCTTGATTCCCCAGTGAGAAGTTACAGACTAATAAGAGACATAATAAAGCAGGTTCCACCCTTCAGCTGCAGCCAGAAACCCGCCTTAACAAAATGGGCAGTGGTTGCTTCACAGTAAAGCCTTGGAAATAAACATTCCAAGAAAAGGACCTAGGAAGTATGATGTGGGAGTGTCATATCAATCTGTTGATTTCATTGGCTGAGTAATAAAGAAACTGCTGGCCCTGATAGGTTATAAGATAGGTGGGCGGAATAAACAGGATAGGATGCTGGCGGAAGAGGAAGTGAGGACAGACTCTGCTCTGTTCCCGGAGAGACTCTGCTCTC